CAAGGTCTTTACTCGTAATTCATACCTTACACAACATCGGAGAATTCATGCTCTAGAGAACCCTTATAAATGTGATGAATGTGGCAAGGTCTTTAGTTGCAATGCATACCTTAGACGACATCAGAGTATTCACACTGGAGAGAAACCTCACAAATGTAATGAATGTGGCAAGGCCTTTAATCGTATTTCACACCTTGCACGACATCGGAGAATTCATACTGGAGAGAAACCTTACAAATGTCATGAGTGTTGCAAAGCCTTTACTTGCAATTCAACCCTTACACGACATCAGGGAGTTCATATTGGAGAGAAACCTTACAAATGCAATGAGTGTGGCAAGGTTTTCCATCAAAAATCAAGCCTTAAATATCATCGCACGATCCACTCGGGAGAGAAACCGTACACATGTGTTGAATGTGGTAAGAAATTTACTTCGCGTTCAGGGATTCATATACATCAACTTATCCATAATGCAGATAAACCTTACAAATGTGAGTATTGTGGCAAGGTTTTCAGGCACAAATTATCCCTAACAGTTCATCGTAGAATTCATACTGGAGAGAAACCTTACAAGTGTAATGAATGTGGTAAGGCCTTCAGACACAAGATATCTCTTACAGTTCATCAGAAAACACATACTGGAGAGAGAACTTACCAACATAATGTGTGTGGCAAGATTATCTGTCAAAACTCAAACCTTGAAGATCATCACAGAAACCATACAGGACGGAAACCTTACAAATGTAATGAATGTGGTAAGGTCTTCAGTTACAATTCATCGCTTGCACAACATCAGTGTATTCATACAGGAGAGAGGCGTTACAAGTGCAGTGAGTGTGGCAAATTGTTTTGTAGGAAATCAAACCTTAAATATCATCATGTTGTCCATTCAGAAGAGAAACCATACAAATGTAATGAGTGTGGCAGAGTCTTCCGTCACAAATCAAACCTTAAAAATCATCACAGAATCCATACAGGAGAGAAACCTTACAAATGTGATCAGTGTGACCAGGCCTTCAGACAAAAGACATCCCTTACACGTCATCAGCGAAGTCGTACTGGAGAGAAACCTCACAAATGTAATGAATGTGGCAAGGTCTTCTGTAAAAAATCAAACCTTAAATCTCATCACAGAATCCACACTGGAGAGAAACCTTACAAATGTAATTAATGAGTGTGGCAAGGCGCTCCGTGAAAAATCAAACCTTAAAACTCATCACAGAATCCATACTGGAGAGAAACCTTACAAATGCAATGTATGTCGTAAGGTTTTTAGTCACATTTCACGCCTTGCTCAGCATCAGGGAAGTGATTTGTGAGAGACTCTGCAGACTCCTTCAGGGTGCAGACTCTTCACCATGAGAGTCCATACAAGAGAAATCAAATCAGTGCAAGGTATGTGGCAGGGGCGTCACCACTCACTACACGTCAAAAGGTACATCTTCAATGAAACCACACAAATGAAATGTTTATGGTGAGGCTAATATTCAAGGAACATTACTGTGGAATGTCAGAGGATTTACACAAGAAATAAGTCAGTTTCTAGTTCTCTAATATTAATCTCTGATACTATATGGTGATGAATATTTATAAATCAAAATACATTACCTTCATGACATGATACATATCAAAGATGCAAGGACATATGGACATGGTAAATTATATTTAGGTTATACAATAGTTAATTTGAGGTTCTTTCAAAAGGCTATTTTATTCTTTATGACTTTCAACCTGAGCTTTGAAATCTCTTCGTAAGCCTTCCTTACCAACATTTCACTGTGGTGTCTGCGGGGAAAAAAAATCAATACGACAGGTCTCAATTGATTACTAACAATCATTGCTATCCCATTTCTTAGAAGAGAAAAGACACTGCCATTTGAGATTAATTTTTTTTTCTATTTTTATGGAAACAGGGTTTTGCTCCCTTACCTAGGGTGAAGTGCAGTGGTATGATCATAGCCCACTGCACCCTCTAATTCATGGGCTCAAACTGTCCTCCCCACTCTACCTCCCACATAGCCGGGACTACAGGTATACCACACCAGGTCCAGCCGATTTTTATTAATTTGTTTTTCAGAGAAAAAGTCTCACTCTGTTCCCCAGGTTGGTTTCAAACTTTGGAATCTAGTGACTTTCCCAGCTTATGCTCCCAGCATTCTGGAATTACAGCTGTGAGCTACTGTGCCTTGTCCTTTGAAATTATATAGTGTCTGATTTAGAAAGGATGATGATGGGCAGAGAATAATGTAACCTATGGTTCAGTCATCATGCCCAATGCATTCAGCACATGCTTGACCTGAAGGAGGGCACAGTGGGTTATAGGAACGAAATGTTCTACCAACTCAGAGTGAAAGAACAGGCCACAACCTCTGGACACTGGGAATTTCATGGGAAGAGAGTAATAGGTTCTTAAGGACTAATTATGTTATAGAAACAATACAGGGATAATGGCTGTCACCTTCTCTATTGAATGGCAATACCTGTTATTTAGCAAAGATTGATGAAAAATTGTGTTTTTTGAAGCTGAATCCAGAAAATTTATATCAGAGTAGACAGTTTAATAGAAACTACCAGTACAGCATGTTCTTGGGGAGGATTCACATTTACCTCTTGGCATTGCAATCTGCAAGCATTTTATTCAGAATATATCATTATCCTCAATTTTAACTAAGAAAATTTAGCATGTTTTCATGGCTATAAAAGAATCACAATGTTTCTACCAACATTGTTTTATTCCACTTCAGGAGGATACTTCATAACAGACAATAGTAATGCACCATTAGGCCCTTACGGTTGAAGCATCTAGAACGTTTTTGGTGAAATCAAAGAACATACCCTTTTGGGTACATATACTTAGGTAAGTATGATTTGGGGTAATCATTCTTAGTACTTAAGTTATTCTCACTACAGTCTGCCCTACAATACTCATGTGAGTCCAGTGAAAATTGCATAGCAGTGTAGCTTCAGACTCTCACACCCTAGAACATGTATCACTGTTGATGAACATGCACTGTATTATTTTATATTTCTACACGCTTCTCTCATGTGCCATGTAGGACCTTCATGTTCCTTAAGCAAAAATGCATATATAGTAATATGGAAGTTACTATGAAATGAAGAATGTGTGGGCAATAAGGATAAAAATGACAGCATGTCTTTTTTGTCCTTGCAGTATGTGGTGACAAAAGTTTTAGATATTACCATTGATGTATTTCCTTTTATGAATAAGCATAGAAAATGGGAACTTCGTTTTGCTCGATAAACTAGGAACTACCTATATTCACCCTTGTAACACTTTTCCGAAGGTGAACTTTTCAGCACTCCCCGGGAACTTGATTGATGTGCACTTAACATTTGGTTGGAAATTGAGGATGATGCTGTACACTGAAGAGGTATGAGAACTTTTAGTGCGCAGCGAGGCTTTCTGAGGGAAGCAGAATAGTCTTCCAGAGCTGGTCCGAAAATGGCTTCAGAGGAACTGGGATACGTGACTGGGTTGGGGTGTTACGATTGTTAAAGGGTGAGTGAGGTCGAGCACCCACATGTGGTTTCACTTCCAGCTCCTGCCGAGGGAGCGAGGGGCACTCAGGCATTGTTGGCTTAACCAGGCGGGCAGAAGAGGAGAGGGAATGCAGAGGTGTGAAAGGTATTAGTATTGAACATCACACAATGTAGTCTGACTTCTTAAGGCAACACCGAGTGTTTGTTCTTGAAATCCCCCGCCTTGGTTAGGAAAGACCCCAATTTTTGTCATGTTCATAGCTCACTACATTCCTTTCTTGGCTGCACGTGTAAGTCCCATCGCTCAGTATGACTGTCTAAAATGTTTGTTAAATACTATTTAGTGAAATTGCCTAAAATATTTTTACAGTAGAATGAAAATTACTGTGTGGAAGTGTTTATTATGTAATAAATATGATTAAGGAATTTTATTTAAAGAGGATTTTTATAAAATTGTGTAAATATCATTTTCAGGTTATGATATGAAACAGTATATACCATGGTTCATTTTCAAGTCTAATAAAATTTTCTCATTTTTTTATATGATTTTTTGGTCATTTTTTTCTCCTCTTTCATACATTGTAGGCCAGCATGCATGTTCAATACGGTTTTTACCTGTGTTACTCTAGAGAAATATTTAGGGAGTTCGTAAATGAGTGTGCCATTTGGAGACAGATTTTGTGACAGGAGCATGTAGATAGGACAATGGCAGGGAAAACTGATTTCTCCGTAAATATGAAAAAGCAATGTCCCTTAGCCTTTAGGGACTTAGCATTGGGACAGTACAAAATAGTCAACTGAAATTTCTTAATGTGGGCATTATCTAAGATCACATGCTTGAAAATCAAATGTGTGGAGGTTAATCAGCATCTGCAGAGGTAAGTGAAGAGGTGGTAAGAGGGAAAATCCCCCAGATTTCAGCTTCACTTTGTCACAGGGAGATCATCTCTATTGCTGAATCCTCAGAGGCCATTCTGCCACCTGACACTGGCTGGTATTTCTATTCACAGTGAGAGTCTTTCAGGAAAACAAGATGTTTGTGTTCCTTGTACCATGAAAACTGCACCCGATAGATTTCTTTCCATCCAAAATTACTTAGCAACTACATTTTCTTTTAATAATTTCAAGCAGGGAGAAATGGGGCACACTTGTAATCCCAGCTCCCTGAGAAGCGAAGGCAGGAGGATTACTTGAGTCCCGGAGTTAGAAATCATCCTGGGCCACATCGGAAGACCCTGTCTCAAAGATAAAAGTGGGCCGGGCGCGGTGTCTCACGCCTATAATCCTAGCTCTCTGGGAGGCCAAGGCGGGCGGATTGTTTGAGCTCAGGAGTTCGAAACCAGCGTGAGCAAGAGTGAGACCCCGTCTCTACTAAAATTAGAAATTAATTTGACAACTAAAAATATATAGAAAAAATTAGCTGGGCATGGCGGCGCATCCCTGTAGTCCCAGCTACTCGGGAGGCTGAGGCAGGGGATTGCTTGAGCCCAGTAGTTTGAGGTTGCTGTGAGCTAGGATGACGCCACGGCACTCTAGCCTGGGCAACACAGTGAGACTATGTCTCAAAAAAAAAAAAAAAAGATAAAAAGTGATCTGTAGGGAGGGGCCCTGCGGTGGGTCAGAAGCAGCTGATACATGCTTCTCTCACACAGAGGATCAAAACTGGTAAGTAGATATTCACCTTTGGCTCAATAGTCTGAGCAACAGCTGTGGGATTCAACAGAAAAAAGACAGAATATGCCGAAAGCAAAGGAGAAGGAAGTAAGGCACCCCCTTGGGTGGGTCAGCAGTAGTGAGGGTGCTGCCTGCACATGGAGAAGGGCAGGTGAGAGATCTCCATACTCCCCCCGTAGACATTCCTATCTGAGCTACAAGAGGGCCCGTCTACTCCCTGAGGCCTCCACATAAACTCACGGAGCTACTTATCAACTGCACAGTGACACTCCTCCAGAGAAGTGGTACAACGTGGTCCCACAGGGTGCCAAACCCTAAGCACTGTGGCTTCATTCTTAGAGCCCAACCTTACAGTGCTGCATCTGCCTGGGGGCCAGTTCTGCTGCCGTAACCATCTCATTGCTTCCAGGACATTGAGACAGTAGAGAGACCAGTTGTGCTTAGAGAGTGTGGGGACTAGGATTGCTGGTACTGCCACTATCACCGGAGGATCCTTGGGAAGCCAAACCACCAACCCCGACTGCCGCTGCTGCTGTTCCTTACACAGGACCAAGTCTCCAGAAAACCTACCCAGCCTCTCGATTCCGCTGCTGCCTCGGAGAGTGACCCACCGTGCTTCTACCTGAACTTTCAGCATTGGCCTGTGGACCAGCCCACCCCTGCACATGAGCATGGCCCAGCACCTCCCTGGACTGAGACAACTACAGGGGAACAAGGAGATGCCAAAGAGCACCAGTGTTTTAGAGGCTCGTGATGTATCTGCCCCTCTCCAGCCTGAGTATTCTTCTGAAGCAGGACTCAAGGACGGAATCCAGGGGCCTAGAAACTGAGGATACCTAACCTAGTCCACCACCACTAGCACCTGGACACCTTGCCAGGGGTTTGAGTTCCAACTCATCTAAATTACGACCAACACTGCAGTGGATACCTACGAGCGTGAGCTGAAAGAGCAAGGGAATTCCTAGCATAGAACAGGTGGACTGCAAAC